TAAGAATTTAAAGGTGACTAATATGTGTATAAATTTTGTTACTTTTTGAATTGGCATGTTAAAATTATAATGTGTTGTATAAAAAATGAGTAGAAGAAAAAAAGTAAAACATCAAATTAAAATCCTTAAACATGCAATAGATGAAACTTTAGAAAGAAGAAAACACACAATTAGCTGGGGTTGACAAAGAAAAAGAGTAGTATCTATTTTGCTCATTCATTGTCCGATTCATTATAATTTTACCAACTCATTAATAAAATTAAACAAAGTTATGAACACATAGCAGATTTAACTCCATTAATGACGAGAAGGACATGGAACAATGAAATAAAATTATAAAAACTAATACTAAGACATGCTAAAAATATAGGAACCAATATTAATTGGATAAATTAACAATTTAACATCATACTTTAACTCAAAATTTATTATATATTTTTAATAAACCTAATTTTATCCCATATAAAATTTTTCGTATCAACTCAGGTGAGTCACACATAAACATCTTATGACCGTATTAAATAAATTGTTTGAATTTTGTAGATACGTGTGCAGTGGAGCCCTGGAGAGTCTAATGTGGACAAATCAACTATCAATGTCAAATCAGCGTGGAGATTTATGTTGGAAAAGTAAAAGCATTAGTTTAGTTAAAGGAAATTGAGAGGGATTATTATATTGGCTACCACCAAAAGAAGGAGGGAGGAAAGTCAAGATTAAATATTGTAAGTTGAATCATGTTGCAACTACTCCTGGTGATTGCTTCTGAAGTTTGCCTCCTCTGCCTTGTCCTCCCAACTCTCGACCTGTTCTGTCTCACGTCTTAGCAACTGTTGAAGTAAATTGGGCCTTCCTATAATAATGAATAATTATTTAATCTGTTAAGCATGCACATAATTTTATAAATAATTGAAGTCGCCCGAGAGATGCTACTACACCTATTAATCAGCCCGGCTAGCTAAAGCTAGTAGTCCTTTCTTCTTCATCGAAGTCTCGACCTGTCTTTAATTAACACGGCCTTTGTAGTTTGCATAAAGAAGTGCTATTCGAAGCCGAAACTTGCATGAGAAAAGGATCTGTGTTTTGACAATTTGATCATCACTCCGTAAAGAAACGTAGAATAAACAGATGGTATTTCTGAGTTATCCAGGCTTTAAATGCTTTGAACCAGCACCGTTTTTTTAAAAAAAAAAAAAATTTTGGCCAGTATTTTCAAAATATGATGTTACTCAAAAAGGAATTAACTAGCTTAATCAGCAACAAGAAATCAGTATTGCTCCCAATCAACTTAATACTTTGAAGATTATGTTGCCGAAAAAAAAAAACTTTGCTTTTAGGATTACACGGAGAACAAAATTATTTAGCCAAAGCATGCCAATATCATCAGGACAATTGATGCTAGCATGGGTTAGCATTATTGAAATAAGAAAATAATAATGTTGTTTTCTCCCCTGTATTCTGCGTCAATAGGGATGATATGATGAGAGGTTGATTTGATCTGAATAAAATTGCAGCAGGGAATTTTGAAATTGAAAAACTCATGCAGCAGGACTTGTTACAATATATATTCATGTAAAATCATCCAACGCTTGGTCCAACTGGCAGTTAAGGGGGTTGTAACAACCTAACCATAGGTTTTATTCGACCTCTGAGATGTAACAATGTTATGTGTAAAGCTTCACCTGAAAGGTCCCAGCAACCTGACTTGATTTAGGTTTGTTTAGGCCTAATTAAAGTCTCCTTAACTAGCTGGACGTGATGCTAATCCAAAATACAAGATGCACTATGCAATATATATATATATATATATATTTATATAACAAACTGTATTACTTAGAAATTGTAAATAAAATGATTCATTTATTAAATTTTGTAACATGCAATATATATGTATGAAATAATAAAACGTTTAGACTTATGCGAACTAAGAATATACTGTTCAAACCTCAGTGGCTGTCGCCAACGCCTCTTCCACTGGAATATTGATGCTTCGCCGTCTCCACTGGTTAGATTGACGCCTTTCGCCTGCTCCCTCGACTTGTGGTTATGGACTTATGGCTCGTTTTCTAGCAATTTTCTTTGCAAGTTTTCATGGGCAATTTAGTCATTTCTCATAAACGCAGGAGGATCTTTGTTTTTTAAAAAAATTGGAAAACGACATTAAAGTCCCAAACCAACTAATTTATGGTAATTAACTTCTCACTAAAATTTTATAAAAAAATAAATTATAAATATTAATAATTCAGATAGTTGTATGTTTAACAGTTTTAACTGTAAATAAAATATTAAAATTTTAAATATAATTTTTAATTTGTAATTAAGATTCTTGCTGGTAACTATTTGAGTTAATATTTTCAATTTACTTTTTTAAATTTTTTGTGAAACTTAATTTCTATAAAATATTTATTTAGGGATTTTGTTGTCAGAATTTTTGTCTGAGCCCAAGTACTTCTTCCCAAATATTCTGCTCAACGGTGACTATATCACAATTTTTCCCATTCACTTATGTTACAACTTTCAAAAAACAGATGATGGCTTTGGTTTAGATTTGAATTCAGTAACTATACTGAATACGAGCATTAAGTACTTATATCATTTGAGTTATTGAAATTTAGATCAACAATTTAGATAAACTCATTCATTCATTAATTTTAATTGAAATATAAATTCAAAACCATTAATTTAAATATTAATAATTTAGAGTATTTGTACTAAATACAGTTATCAAATCCAAATTTCTTGAGTTTTGAGGCCAAGAAAATACTTAACTTGGAGTAAGACGCGCCAATGGTTATAACTGAGTGACATGTAAGCTACCTAATAAATAGAAAGTTAGAAATTTGATCTCCTCTAATTTTAAAAGCGGATACGATGCAAGAATTTCAATTTCAAATAAATTAGCTGGTAAAAAATAAAAAGAAAAAGATAATCACATAAGTAGTCATATTATTAGCTGAAGTCAAGTTTTTCTTTTTCTTTTTAAAAATTTGAGGGGTCAGCAGTAATGCATGTCACTAAATTATAAAGTGATCAGCATTGCTATCAGGCTTTTGAATGGAGCAAGCGGCGCGTAAGTGACGACATCGGCATTGTCCAAAAGTTGTGAGAGGTAATGGAATTAATTAGTTTGATACTCTAATGGTGCATTTTTGGTGAACATTTCCATTATATTAATCTGTTCCCCTCTCTCACATCCCCTATATCCAAACTTTGTATTAATGGTTCCCGACTTCTTACTACTTTCTACTTTTCTTACCTTTTTTTGTTATAGAACTCTTTTGATCATTACATGAGTTAAAAAATAGTCATAAGTAGTTTGTATTATTAGTATCATAAAAAATTATCACTATTTTTAAATGTTTCATTAAAATCAAGCTATCTTAATTACTTTTAATTTATTTCTTAACTTACTCATTCTATCCTATGATGTTTAATTTTTTGGGAGCAGTTTATTAATGTGTTTATAATATAAGATATTTTTTAAAAAATAATTATTTATCAATGAAACTTATTCAAAAATCACCCCTCACTATTCCACTCATTTTGAATATTTGTTTCTCTGTCCTTGCTAAATGAAAAATACTTTTGTAAGTTTACATTTCCTCTATTTCAAAATATGTTCTTTTAAAAGTTCAAATCATCAATGATTTCATTAATATTTTATTGTATTGACTGCATTTCTCTTAATGTTTACGTAGAAACCTTATATATATCTACTATATTTTAAAATAGATAGGGTATCTTTTTAAGAAATCAAGATTCTAAGCAGTGTAATTAACTGATTTTATTGTTATTCACAATTTTATAAAAAATATTTTATGAAATGGGAAGGAGGAGCATTATCTTTGTCTAAAACTTAATAAAGACATTTATGAAAAAAAGTTTAATGTTATTAACTTTTGTAAAGTGTTGTATACATAAGACTATTATATTAAAAAAAACTTTTTAGAACTTGTGTTAATGTATATTAGGGGAGTATTTTCTAATGGCTACAAATTTCGCTTTATTCATCCGCATCGGCAGTTACTTGACGAGTCCCCTTTTTCTCAATAACACCATCACACATATATGTTTTTTTAACAAAAATATATTCATTCGTACAGCTCTTAATTCACTAGACAACTACTGTCCGACTAGCTAATGGAAATTGAGATCACCTTAAAGAATAAGATAAAGGTTCTGTTTCTTTTTTCTGAAAGTTATAAATGATGCACTCCATTTATAAATTTACACTCGGTTTGTCCACTGGACATATATACCTGGGCATGGGATCCCTCCCTCTTCCCGTCGCGCACACAATGGATAAGTTCCATACGTTACAAGGAAAGAAGAATATTCTGGAACATGTACGTACAAGATAATTCTGAAATTGACAGATTCCGAGAAATGTGGCTAAATGAGTTTTAATAACACAAAAACCTTTAAATTCAATATAGTCTCTGTATATCTAAAGGAAGAAAGAAAGTGAAAAGACAATTCGTAGATGGTTTAATTAAAGTTATCATGTGTTGATATGATGGATATTCGAAACGAGAGAATGCCAATTTAAATCACTTTAAATATTGATTCATTGTTTCTGGTTGGAGTCACATGGACTCCTTCCTAAATATTTAATACATATATATAAGACACTAAGAAAACTCTAAGAGAATGAAGCCACGTATCTGATGCCTCCATCGTTAAAGCCGAGCGAGTCACGGCCAAAACGTCAAACCACCTTTCCAACTTTGCACAAGCTTCTGCCCCCCGGGGTTTCACAAGAACTTCCTGAAAGTTACACTTCAAAACCCGATGCTTTTCAGTCGTAAACTCAGCAATCAACCACACTATATATATCTAATTGCACTTTTCGAAGTTTGAAGAGAGTGAAAGAGAAATTAGGAGACTGTCTAGTTCATTGTAATTTCATAAATGGCGGCATAATACGGAAAGACAAACTGCCACTCACAGTTGCGGACGATATTAGCAAGGATCCTGGGCAGTAGAGCAGTGACATATGTATATCGGATAAATCAAAGAGTCTTATTAATTATAGCATACACAGGGGCACAAGAAAAGAGAAACCCGGAAATGACCAAGATGTTGTTTTCAAATAATGAAGCAAATATTGCAAAATGAAATAGTTGAAACCAAGATAAAATTAACTAGCTAGAAAACGAAAACAAGCAAAACTCTGAGCGATGGTGCTCTAGGCTGATGATCCGGGACAAATTTACAGCGCCCCACTTATAGAGAACGGCTATTGCACTCAAGATTAAAGTAGGCAGACTCCTCGAAACTAGAGATATCGTGAGGCATTCCTTGTTGGACACCTTCGTATGCAGAAACCAGAGGAGAGTAAACCTGCAGGTGAGAGGTGATATCACCCCAGCTAGTGCTTTCTGCTGAAGCTGCAGCGGTGCTACCCATTCCATAGTAACCCTGCAACGTCGCATGTGGCTGTTGTTGAGTAGGCTTCATGCTCACCAACTCACTCCAATAATCCTCGGGGAAGCTTTCAAAGCCTTCGAAAATGTTCGACGACTGACAACTACTACTAGTACTATTATTCACCAGCGCTGCTGAATTTATTGAGGCTGGGTATGGGTGCTGTTCGAGATGCAGCAGTGGGTAGTGGGAATTTATGGTATGGGAAAGCGTGTCGGAGTATGATTGTTGGTGATCGTGGGAGAATGTTCCCTCAAGTGTATTTAGCAAGCTGCTGTGGTTGCGATCATGATACTGTAGGGCGGAAACAGATGTTGGATCGCACAGGTGAGCTGGCCAAGTGGGATTTTGGGTCACAGGTGTCACCAAATTTCCAGTTTCGTTCTTCATGACTAGCTTGGGTTGAGCCTGGGCCTGTTGTTCCTTCCGCTGCTTACCCAGCAGCTTCTTCCTCAACCTGGTGTTCCAGTAGTTCTTTATATCATTATCTGTTCTCCCTGGTAATTGCGAGGCTATTATGGAACCACCTGCATATCATTATAACTAATTAGTTATTAAGGTGCTGGAGCCTTGGATCCCATAATTGTGTCCGTAATTAATTACTCACCTGCTTCCGATAGTGACATAGAGACTGCAGATTATGTTGTCTTCTTCTTCCGAGAAACCCCCGTGTTTGATGTTTGGGCGAAGATAATTCAACCATCGTAGGCGACAGCTTTTTCCACATCTCTTAAGGCCTGCAACTCGCGCGCGTCCATGGATGATAGTTAAAGAATCAGAATTATATGCGTCTGTGAGCTGGATCGCGATGGACAAAGGAAAGCTTATATAAATATGAATAAACACGAATAATGGACAAGAGTATACCAATCTTTTGGGGCAAGGCAATCCAGTTGCCGCCGTGCCGTGCTGCTCAATATAGGCCTTGAGCTTGGCGTCTTCCTCGGGGGACCACGGGCCTTTCTTCACATTGGCTTTGTCACAGCAAGGAGCCCTCCCCATGCTTCCTCTACCACGATCGACTTCCGTTGTGTAATTGGTGGTCCGAGTTACAATCCCAAAACTCTAAATCTTTGTTACGATTTGAGGATAGATAATGATAAAGATAATAACGGGAGCTTTATATAAAGGGGTCAAGGGGAGAGAAAGAGAGATAGCCTGGAGAAGAAGAGACAGAGGAAGTTGTAGGGGAGGGGGGTTTGAAAAAGCAAGGTCAGTGAGAAAGAAAAGAGAAGAGGAAGCTTTATGTTGAATAAAATAATGGATAATGAAATTCGAAACGGTAGGGGCAGGAGACCCATGTTGTTCTCATTGTCTCTCTTCCTCTAGAATCTCTTTCATTTACTCTCTTCAGCCACCCCTATGCTTTATCCCATCACTCTCTCTCTCTCTCTCTCTCTCTCTCTCTATCTCTATATGATATCTTTATTTTACAAAATAGTGGTTTGCTGGAGCGAAGAATTATTGGTGTGGATGGATAAATTGATGAATGATGATGATAATCATACATCATGGCATCGAGGGTGGGACCGATCAATGATAGTACGAAGTTAAAGAGATCCCTGCACACTTCATTTCTGGTTGAACCGTTCCGTTCCTTCGTCAGATCACATATGCACTGAATGCCTTTCCCAGGGAATCATTCTTCCACGGCATTCAAAGCGTACTTTATCCTCTGCCAATTTTCTGAATCACTGATTCTCGTCAATCAACTCGCATTATCTAATTTTCTAACTTTCATATTTCTTATATATACTCAATGATCGAGCCCAAGGGTTTTGCTGATCTCCATGAATTCAACGACGGTTCCTCAGATTAATGAGGGTTAATTGTCCCCGGGCCCCAGGGCTTCACACATGTTTGTTCGTGGAACAGAAATTTCAGGATAAAATCAAATATATTTATAAATCATTTTTAATATATTTTATCAGAATTAAAAAAATTTTAACTCTTATTAATTCTATTTAAAATTTTAATAAATTTTTACTTTCTTCCTAATAAATATTCTCAAATTTCATTATTTATATTTTTATTCAAAACATTTAATAAAGGCAAAATTGCAAAGGGGAGCATTAAAAATTGTTAAGTAACCTATAAATAGAATAATTTTTTTCTGCCCAATAAATAAAATCAAGGAGTATTTGATTATTATTAGAGGACAAGGGTGATTTTCGTTATGGTAGGTATATCCACCGAATAACCACAAATTTACTGGAATGTGTGGCTGTGCTCCTGGCATGATATTGGTCCCCAATAATAATTAGAAACATGCATGTCTCAGAATGTTGAATATTAATTAAGCAAGAGACTAGAGAGGTGTATATGAAACTGTGGAAACAAAATTAGATACGTAGCTTTGTAAACAGAGGATCAATTTAAATTCCTGAGGCCGAGAGATAATGCAGGGTTATTTATGTGACACACACACACACGACATGCCACTGGGTGTCCTATATCATTTCATTTTCAGCCTTCTTTTCCAGCGGAAGAGGACAAACAGGACGCGATTAAGAAAATAGACGGAAGACAGACCTCACTATCACATCCATATTACGTTAGGGATTTTTTTTTTTTTTTTTGGGAAGTGACTCCTTTCGTCCTTTTAAGTAAAGTAAGTTGAACAAAAACGGCATTTTAATTCGTGTCTCTCTTCTTTTATGTTACATTAAATTACACGCACATACTAATCAATAATTGCTATAAATCAATATAAAATGTAAAAATATATGGAGAACCACACTATTTAATTTGAAGCCACGGATAATTCAACTCATCACCTTGGACTCAATAAATTATAACATGTATAAGTTTAAATTGAATGAAGTTTTATATTAAAAAAAAACTTGCCCAATAAATTTTAGAGAAAGACAAGATGCGTACGTTGTGTATCACTGGATCCAAACCGATCATTTGAATACGAGCTTCAGTTTCTTCGAACTTATTTTGAATAAATTTCTGTCCAAACTAAAAGAGATTATAAATTTATAATCCAACCTGAGAAATGATTATTAGAAGTAGAAATAATTAGTCTCTTAATGCCGTGTCTGTTTACAAATATACTTGGTTAATGATATTATATGAACTCAGGATGGAACAGTGTCTTAACATGATGTGGAGATTATTAAATATGAAGCCATGGTTTATTAAGTTATTGTTTAATAAGCAGATATTAACTTATTTAATAATTAAATAATTAATAAATATAAAAACTATATAGTATGACAGTACTTAAAATTAATTATTGTTATTAGATTAAATATGCTTGTGTGTGAGTGGGGTTCTCGTAATGTGAGGGCTGGCTCCAACTAGAAAGCCGTGCGTTGGAGAAAAAGGAGGAAAGGAAAGGGGATTGTTAATTAATTTCCTATATACATTATGACGACTATTCTGTGCAAGTTGTATGTGTGTTATGTCTTCGGTGGAGCAATACATGGCTTTATACGCCATCCTTTTAACTTCACTGTTTGCCTCTCCCATTAATACATCACTATTCAGACCTCTGAATTCTCCTCCAACCATGCTATATAATTATTCCTCTCTTCATTTTAATCTACTCTTATTCCAAAACTGAAGCCATTATTCAAGCTAATTAACAATGAAAAGAATGAGGATATTTTATAAAAGTCTCAAATGGTTCATCAATTGACTTCTTTATTTTTTTTTTATTTCATCCCCTGATATTCTAGGAAACTTAGAGGTATTATCACTTCCCATTTAAACTAATCTAAACTCCCTCTATGTGGGATTATTATTATTAATAGTAACCTTATAGATAAAACACAATTATATATTTTAAGACTCAAATTTAAAATTTTAAAATAAACTAATTTACCTCTCTTGACTTATTGAGCTAAGCGCCCTTAATATTAGAAATAGGACTTCACCATGTCTCTATCTTTACTTCTTCTCAAAAAGCGAATTTGATTTTTTCCAACGTTCATTTGAGAGAGAGAGTCAGGGTAGGCCACCGTCTCGTCTAACTCTTTTTCAAAATGAATTAATTATGGTTAATTTGTGTGGAGCAAAAAGAGAAAAAAATGGGAAGGAAGATGGAAGACTATCACTTCACAGGGTCCATTTTTCTAAGTTTTTGTCTTGGGCACGTAATCGTGGACCCGGTACGTTTGAAACAATCTTTTCGACAAGGTCACCTGCACTTCTTTTACTCACTTTCTTTTTGAAGCCTTCAAATCCTGATGTACACACATCTTGCAACACACTGAAGATTCAGCACACTTTGTTTAAAAGATATGCCTCCAGTTCAACGCCTATTGTTAAAAAAACCATTTAATAATCTATGAAGAACATGATATCAATATATAATCTACCAGTTATATGAGAATGGTCGTAAAGATCCTCATGAAACGAAACTTTGCACATCTACGTACATGCCCAAATTCTGCGCTACAGCACTAATGTTAATAAATTAATGTGAATATCTGTGTAGGATCCACTGAGTATATTTCTTCGCCATTTCCTTTTCACATTACTGCAATATGATTTCCAAGTCGCCGTGCTTGATTTTATTCCTGGGCGGCTGTCCTGTCAATATCTAATTTCTGCGACTTACATTAAGTTTCTAGAATTAGAGGATGAGTGCAGTCGCTGTGGCGGACATTATAAAGGCCTTTTATCACGCAAAATCTTTTATTTCATTAAAAAATAATGTTTACAGCATTCATTTTGATTTTGATTTTTTGTTTTTATGTTAGATTAAACTATATCACATTGACTCCCTCATTAACAAGATGAGGGTATTGCCAGAGACTTCATCAATTAACATCAGTAGTTTTTGCCGCAGTAATTTTTTTTTTCTTTTACAAACAATTTTACCGGTTAGAATGTCTATGAAGGGATAATTTTGTGCATGCTAAATATTCATTTAATGTTTGGTAACAATATACTTTAACTCATGAAGCTGTAAGCTGAATGTGAGATGAGGTGGCTCCGCCCCTGTTTGATGATGTGGTGCGTCGGACTAGATATTGTCCAAATCAAGAATTGTAAGCGATGAAAGACCGCATCTGTCTTTTTACCAGTCAACTATCACATCACTTCCATGCGAGACTACTCCGTCAACAATCTATTTTCTACGAGGCCGAGTGTGAATCTGACAAATAATATGTAGCAGTGACGTGTAGAAAGTAGAATCTTGCGTATTACGCATGTAGACTCCTTCTGAGTCGATAGTGCTCTCAAGCTCGGCAACTCGGTTAAAACGAAAACCAAACTCAGGTTAGGTCAAGGGTGACATTCAGATGTTGTGTGCTTATGTAACATCAATTTATTAACTCATGAAAATAATGCATGTGGCATCATTTCTGGAGGCTTGACATGTACAATTAAGGACTTCAGGATATAATACGCGCCAACAATTCGCATATCAGATTAGTACTCCTGCAGGAATTATATATTTTGGACAATTTTCTCTGCTCATGTGAACATGACAAATAAGAGAGCGTCAGCAACCCGGAATTTTGGCTTTAATTGACTGCAACAGAACAGATCCTTTATAACAGGAAAGGCATAAAATCCATTGTCTCAAAGATCCTCTTTCCTTTTGCCATGGAAGCGTCGGTAATCATGGATGCGCTTTCTTCCCTCCCATGGTTGCTTTTTTCCGAAGCTATAAAGCTTGCAATTTTTTTTAAGGGGGAAAAATGGAGGAGCTCAGGTCAAAAGGGATGTGGATAGGATAGGACAGGACAAAGATTCAGATATCAGGATTTTAAGTACAGAACAAAAAGCAAGCTTTGCGTGCTAATAGAAATTCTACCCTCATTGTTAGTGGCAATAATATGAATCTGATTAGTTTGCAGGAAGAAAATGGAAATATGCGGGTGCCTTTTCTAGAACATATGTACAGGTCAAGGAATGGGACCCGGTTTAGTTTTTTACTCTGGTATCAAAACAACTTAAGTTACAGTCAATGAAAGCCAATTCTGGTGACTGATGAAGTCAAATGTGGGTATCCTATCCTTCCTGCCTTGACACCCATGCCACCATTCTTTTATAAGCGGTCGTTATTCTCTACAGAGAGCACAGGTGCCCGGGCCATGGTCACAACGAGCAAGGGACGCAGACACAGGTGTTTCCGTAGATTGAATGGAGAAAACCAAGATTGCACAACAAAAATAAAAGCAAATTAATTAATTATATGGGGTATTTTTACAATGGCTGTTGCATAGATAAATGGGGCTTTATTTTTAAGGGAACGTCGAAGTTGGGTTTTTTTTTTTTTGGGGGTTGATCAAAGGGAATAAATACACTTGCCAATAAAAAAAAAATTGCAAACCAATACTGCGCGTCCCGGGAAGACACAAATTTAGTTGAGCGGAGGCAGAGGGAAAATTTTTAATAATCTCTTATTTGGATTAAGCGAAAAAGGAGGTATTTTTATTTATTTTGTTTGGTTGAAGAGGGGTGAAGAAAGAAGACATTTAAATGCACCCTCCCTTGAAAATTCCCAATTTGGAATGCAAAGGTAGAGTAACAACTCCCCTTCCTTCCCTTTCCCTCCAAACCCTTCAATCAAACGAGACACTTTGTTTCCAGCTAATCACGGCCTTCAAGTTTGCTGCTCATGTCAGCTGCATTTCCAAACGAACCCCTGTGCCCTTCCTAAATTCTCGTTGCAGACCACAACTGAGGTCAAGGTAGTGACTTGTGATAGATTGGCCAATAGCTGTCATTTAATTTGACATTGCTGCGTAACGAAGTATTCAGTCAATGGGTTTTTCGATATTCCTAGATTAGCACACGCCCTCAATACCTATCCTGCTATCATCAACGGTATTACATGGCAGCTCTTTCTACTATAAAATTGACCACAAAAATTCGCTAATTCAATGCCAAATTTTAAAGCAATCAAAACAACAAACAAAATAGAGTGATTTCCATGTGTTTGCCGTAGTCATTCAATACCACTAACTCTGGTAGACTACCTCCAGCAGATCATTAGATGTGAAACCAACGAGTGCCTCTTTCTAAAGATCCCAGCTTCTGAACTTAAAAACCATACACTGCTGCAGGATATGGTTTGCCGGTGCGCCTATCTCAGCTCCACAGTCCAGTCCATGTTATCCTCTATAAGACCCATCTGCAATCTTGTAAGAACAGTGTAAAGTTGCTGCGAAACTTCTCCAATGCCATTATCTCCATAGGATACCCTACAAAAATTTCAGTCCGTCATTGCTTCCAATTTCTTTCATGAGGAAAATTAGTCTAGACGATTTCACAGCTTTAAATTCACCCCACCATGCCTTTTAGCAGTGTATAAACAAGAGTTTCAAGAAAATTGAGTATTGATGAGTTCTGAGACCCACTTTTTACAGGAAGATGGGAGTTAGTATTTGCGGCTTGTAGTGACTAGCCAAATTTTTATGACTTAGATTTTTCAACCGTGAGGAAGAATGAAATTAGAAAATAATTGTAATTTATGATTCAGATGACTGAAATATGTTCAACGAACAAGAAAATTTCTTGCCTAACTATACCAGTTGACCTATTTGTCAATGCACTTAACTGCAAGTTGATTTTTGAAATAAACTCCTACCTCTTGCCAAGATAAGTGATACTGCCCACAGGTGACACAACAACAGCCGTCCCCGTGCAGAAGACCTCATCAGCATCAAGTAATTCATCCACTGACACTGATCGCTCCTCTACCTGCACGTATTAGATGAATACAGGGAAATGATAAGTACATTTATGCACCTCATGGTTACCGCCACTAGTAATTAATGAAGAGTTACATAAGCCAAAATCCAAAAGGTAGACCTTCAACATGTGAAGTTTTTTTGGGAACAATCCATAGATTGTTAATGTAGTCTCACTTGGAAGGTCGGAGATAATGCCCTAACAGTCTTTAGCAAACAAACATGTAGGGAAAAGACATCGAAGCCCCAAAAATAAAACAAAATAAAATAAAAATCATACTAGAGTAAGCCTAAGATAAGTAAAGGAACTACTTGGAAGTTCGGAGATGCTATTGTGTAATAAAAATCATTCATCACATGCATGATATTTGCAGACAAACAGATCTATTGCCAGCCAAGGTAAAATCTTTACCAGGGCGATAGAGAAGAGAAAGGACAAACGTCATGCCAAGGTCGCATTTACTTGCTATATGTGACCCTTCAAAATAGTCCAAATGACCTGTTTGGTGTTGGGAAGTGGAAGTGAAATAGAAAATAGAATGTTTACTAGACAGGATCCCACTTCCTAATGGAACCTGGTTCCAACAAAACGGTGGAAGTGGATTCCATCCCTGGACCCAAAGAACTCACTTCCTTGTTTTCTCATTTTTACCCTCAACGTCTCTCCTTCCATGTTTGACCCAGGCTTCATCACCCGCCACATTCATTGATGGCAATGGAGGGCCAAATCAGCGACAGTGACGATGACCACTGTGGTGACAACCAAACCTCACCCCTGTGGTGAGGACCACTAGCGACACCATGGACGCATGTAGGTGTTCCCAAATCATATTTCAGTCTTGCTTTTTTGTTTTTCTTTGATCTGTCCGATCTTATGTCTTCCACCTCCAGCTCCTCCTCCATGCTGATTTTTGTGGCTCCTCTATCTTCCTCCCCCACTTCAACTCTTCCTCCATTCTCAGATCTGACAAGACCAGAATCCACAGGCTTCTATCAATTTCAGAGTTGAGAACAACAATCTACTTCTCAGCAGCCACAACAATCTACTTCAATCAATTTTCCCATTGCCTCCTCGTGCAATCAATGTCTTCAAACCCCACTTCCTATAGTACATGTTAAACCAGAGTTTGCTATCATTACTGCACAGGGAGTCGAATCGCTTTGATGTGCAGGTGAAGGTGCTATCATTAAATCATGGGTTTTTCCCCTAAAATCCTGTTCATGCTCTTCAATGATTACAAGATGTAAATGATGAAGTTGATTATTGTTTTGGGTTTTCCGTGCAGTGGGAGTTCAAATTCTATAAAACCCCTAAAAGTTCTAGCTTTTACTCAAGTTCTCAATAAAGACCAAGCAATATTTCATTGATTCATTCTTCTTTCTATTTCTATTTAGATTTTCTGAATTATTTCAAAACTGATTCTAATTGAATTGATCCTCATCCTAAAAATTCATTCGATTGATACATGTATCCACCAATTCAACATATGATCTATTCGAAGCTGCCACAGATATGAGAATGATGCATAATTTTTTTCCTAGTGGAGAGGTAGTGGCTGATCTACCTCATGGCTGGATAGATAATTTGCCGGTAGTTTAGTGATTTCTAATGAATGTGCAGCGGTGGTTGTGAAGAAAGAGGATAAAGACAGTGGAGATATAAAATATATATATTATATATGGGTACTTTGGTCTTTTCGAAATATGAATATATTCATTAAACAAAAATTTTATCCCACTCCCATCTGCATACCAAACACACTTTTGAACCCCACTTCCACTCTCATTTCCACTCTTACTTCCATTTCCATTTCCACAAAAACTCTTCTCCTCATACCCAACTCATACCCAACGTGGCATAAAGTAGAATTAATGTGAACTACCAGAGACTTGATGAAACTCTAGAGCCCTTCTAAATAATTAATTGCCATGGAACCCCGAAAAAGGATGTATGGGCAGGCAAGATTTAAATGTTCTCATCAAGAATCCTTTTCTACTCACAGATCTACAATATGATGCCTGAGTAGCTTACACTCATAATCACGTTATTGTGGATTCATTTAGCAAACCATAGGGACGAGCTAGTAAGAAATAAAACACCATGAGTATTTATTTATGCACTTATGCCAAGTTGCCAACACCATGAGTATTATATTCAAAGCAGATATTATCCACCTATTATCTTAAAAAACTGAAAAGTCTAATACCTGGAACCCCTGGCTTCTAGCAACGTCGAGTATACTTTTTCGAGTGATGCCAGGTAGAATAGTCCCTTTAATAGCAGGAGTTGAAATAACTTTGCCCTACAAGCACGAGGAAGTACTAACAGTTCAATATAGAGTCAGAGAGGAATGTATTATGACAAGAAGGAGACTTCTATATAAGTACAAATAAAATAGCACTTATCTTTTAAACAAAGGATTAAGTGCTAACCCATTCGTACAGTATAATACCTTAACAACAAAAATGTTGCAGGAAGAAACCTCCTCCAAATATCTCTTATGGACACAGTCAAGATATAAAACATCAGAGTAGCCTTTGGCTTTTGCGGCAGATTGTGCCTTCAGAACCTTTAGATTAATTGCATGGACACCCGCAGAAAAAATGGGGAAAATTGTAAGTATCCCAGTAGCAAAAATTGAGAGATCAAAAGCTATCAAAGATGACTTAATCCAACAGAGTGTAAAACCTATTATAATTGTCAGTTCTCACTAGTATAAGCAGGTGAGCACCTGCTCTCAATTTTTCTTTTCCAAGGCAACTTGAAAGATAGGAAAATCTCAGTGTAAGGAAGATTTAAATACCAAGACAAACATGAGTGAATATTTGCATACCAAATATCAATTCTCAGTAAACAAAGAAAAAAAGGGAAGGCATGCACAGGTGGCTTACAGCAGCATAGTTGCCAATGGTCTTCACACCTCCAGTACCACCAGGCGTTGCTCGATGCAATTCGTTCTCAACAATCAAATTTATTGGAGCCACACCTTCCTATCATGATATGTGTGCTCTTCATAAATGTTAAGGAAAAAGCAATAGATAAAAAGAATAATGATAACCAAACATGTTTTATTGGAATAATAATATATTAACATATTAACCATTTTTATACTATTAAAGAAGCAGAAGTAGAAAATACTACAAACGAATGCAGTCCAACTTCATCCAAGCCTTGTTAACCCAACAATTTCTAAAGAGAAGAAAAATGATCAAAAATTCATGACCACTAGAACTACTACATGTTTTCTTCATCTACTCAGAAGTCAATTTTACCTATTCAATCACATCAACCAAACCATATAAAAGTTCATATTTCACTCCTGTTGCATTCAACATGTATTTCTTCACATTATTCACAACTCACTAGGCCCCAAGCTTCTTTAGAGTAAATCCTGAAAACATCTCTTTCTCAGATATTTTAATTCATGACTAACTAAACAAGCCATATATTGTTTCATTATGTACAAATGGAAGTGGAATATGAAAAACTTATTCAAACAAAAGGAAAAAGGCTGCATTTGAATATGGAAATAAACACTTGATAGCATTTCACAAATAATTATACCTTACCTTGAAGTAATTTCCAACAGGGGAAACATATATTAGAAAGGTATACTCTGGTGCAGGTGCAAGACCAAGCACAGCTCCACTTCCCATCAGCAACGGTCTGATATACAAGGAACCTTTACCTGGAGGGGGAATCTTGAAACAAAATTTTCACTAATGAATCTAATGTGTTGCAAACTGAATGATGTGATATGGAAATTGAATTGTAATATATTACCCAACGTTTGTTTGCTAAAACAGTAGTCTTTACAGCTTCCACAAATTGTTCTACTCTAGGTGATGGCATGCACATTCTTTCTGCACCCATCTTCATCCGTATAGCATTTTCCTCTGGACGAAAGAGGAGTATATTCCCATCTTGTTTGCGGTATGCTTTTAAACCTTCAAATAGTCCCTACATTTGGGTTGGCCAAAACAAAAATAAATTTTCAAACCACTAGGAGTTAAAAATTGAAGAGGAAATCTATACAATTTCCTATTCTCTGCCAAAATCCTGCGATTTATTCTCACCAGTTCTTATTTAGATAAGAGGGACATTTAAGTTCATCATAATTAACCAAAAAACACTAGTGACATTCTTAGAGAACAGAATATCAGAAAATTAACAATATTTACAAGAAAGAAGTTCCTATATAAGTAATCATTTAGCTTAAAAGCGTGACTCGGATGCCAGATGTGCCAATTAAAATATTGTTGACTTATGCCTACACCTAACCTTGATTCTTAAAGGATGACTTAGTGCTAAAAGCTTATAATCGAACCTGCCCATAGTTTAAGACGCCTGCTGAGGGGCTCAATTCAATGTTCCCAAAAAGTTGCAGTTCACCATTAGCAAAGCTTCCACCTTGCGAACATTTCATGATGTACATGTAGTCCGTAGGTAGGAGGCCAAATCCAAGGTTGTCCCAGTCTATGTCTGCTAACTCAACTGTTTCACTGTAGCATTCACAATGGCATAACAAGTTACAAAATTTGGGCATCTGTGTCGGCAAGTATCAACCCAATAATGGTTTAATTATCTCTGGAGAAAATCTTCAGGGCTAAATAGTCAGCAATCTGAAACAGAGTCACATGTAAGTTTTTATTTACCAAGAAAAATCATTTTATTGCAAGTCATGTACCAATTAATGACCACGCCTTGACTCCTTCACCCAAATCTATTTGCTTCAATTTCCAGGTGGAACAGAAGCGAAAGAAAGTCAAGAAAGAAGGACGATTGAACAGTCTTTTTATGCACACCATTCAAAACATGCAAATTAACGTTTTTGGCATTGTAAGAGATTAGATTCTTGTAGTTGAAGACTTGAAGTATATGACATCTTTTTGTATAATTAGAGCTAGTGATGCAAGAAATAATACCAATGTGATTTAAGAAAAAAAATTATGTCAGTCGAAAGATGTGGTTTTGGCAGCCATAAGCACCGAACAGGGCTTAATATCTAAAGCACAAGAAGAATGCAATGGTTTCAAGACTTAATCGTTTCAGACAAGCTCTGGGAAATATAAATACAAACTAATGCAATATGAACACCGCGACATGACACATGACAGAATATGTATAGTGTTCTAATGCAATTGAAAGTTGTGTGTTGTCAGACAGGATAGGGTTCCGTTTTTAAATTATGGGATATCGGAGGGTAAAGAAAATAAAGCAGAAACAAAATGGTGGAAGGACCTGTAGGCATCAGATAGAGTGGCAGGTCGGCGGAGACGCGAGGTGGCTTGAAGAACATTCTGAGCAGCAGGAAGGAATCGCATTTGGAGCTGAAAACATGGAACAGAACCACTGATCACAGAGAGAGCTAAAGAAACAAAAAAAAAAAGTATCTTCGTTTGCCGAAATCGAATAAAGAATAAGAACAAAAACAGAAGCTGAAAATGAAAATGAATGGGAGAGAAGGAGAAAGCAATGAAACTGGGAACGCGTACCTTGGGAGAGGGAAGGGAGGAAGGCCTGAAGTTGGCGATTGGGTGAGAAGGCGGGGCATGAGATTGGCGGGAGGAGCAGATCGGGTAAATTTGTTGAATGCCCGGGAGGGCGGCGGCGTTCTCCATCTCTCTCACAGACAAGGAGACAAGCCGACGAGGTGGATGCTGTGGTCTCAATTCCACAATGTTATTGCTCTCCCCAGAATCAGTCCCGCGCCGCTCCTTGTCTTCGCTGCACAGCGCGATACGGGGAAGTAACTTGACCAAAGATTAACATGCTTAAAATTAAGCCGGAACCTATGAACAAGTTAAATTCTACTAAAAAGTTCAAATATTCACACGATTAGTTTGTGTCTGTTCAATAGGAGATTCTTATGGGATTATATATACATTACTCCCACCTGAACACGAAAGATTCAATATCAAGAAATGGATATTTAATTTAAAAAAATAAAACTTAATACATAAAATTCACGTTGGTTCGAATAATCGAGAGCACTGTCACATTTTTTTGGGGGGGGGGTTAATAAGGTGGGGTTGCAAACGCCCTGGTAATGAAATAAGAGTAAAAAGGAATTATTATCAATTCCATCCTAGTAAATACATTTCAACTATTTATCAGTTCTTTCTGAGAATGGAATGTGCATTGTGCTTCATTTGGTAAAAGTTCACGTATTATTATCCCCTTTGATAAAGCTCCTGAGCATTAAGTTCATGTATTGCTAATTTGGTTCATATAGTGCGTTTTTTCCGGGATAATAAGCAGTTCAGTTCATCAAAATATCAAGAGAATCCAATTTCGAGCAATCTGTTCAGTAGTCATTGGGAAAATTGTAAGATATTAGATCTCAACTTTAGAGACGTATCCACGTTGTAGAAGTTGTAGAAAGTGGAGGCAGTTGCCCCTAGGAAATTTGGGAAAAAATAACCTTTCTTTGGGTAAAAATTACATTTGCCCACCACTTAAAAATTGCAGTTGTCGCCCGTGAAAAATTAATTGTCCCACAATTTTTAAAATTATCTAGCACACATATTTAAAAATATTATTTATTCTCATTTATTATAAAAATAATTTTATGATATAAATGAAAGTAAGATATATTTTAAATTTCTTATATAATTTATTTATATATTATTTTAATTAATATTTAGAATTATATTTTTGAAAAAAATTTATATTTATATTTGGCATAAATATTGCCTTCATTACTAAAAAAATTTTGATCTGTCACCGCTCAACTTGAATAACTTTTTCTTTCTTTCTTTATTTTTTTTTTAACGTTAGATACCGAGCACTGCTACAAGGCTGTCATTTTTGCTTCGTTGCTACATAAAATCAATATGTACTACTATATAAAAATTAAGATTTATATTACTACGTGTTTAGTCGTTTAACGCTCAATTCAGTCGCTGTGTGCCTATTTCTATGGGTTGCGTCCTTGCTTTTTTCCCCCCTCCACGTTTTGAACCGGAAACTTGCAGAGAAGCAGAGGCGGATGTCAGGTTAAAATGTCCATAAAGCCGGGCGGGTCCCATAACAACGATAAGCCTGGTAAATGAAATGCAGTACAGAATCGGCTCTTTCCGTCCAGAATCCACGAGATACACATATGCTTGGGATTAAAGTTGAAAATATGGATCAAATTATATGAATTGATCCAAATAATCAATTATAAAAGTCAGGCTGGGTTGAAAAAATTAATTCAGATAAAAATGTTTTTTTTTTTTTGCCTGAACCATGTAACTTGTAAACCACATGAGTTAATCTTAATATATTAAAATTAACCCATTTAATTTATATTATTTTTTAAATAAATTAAAAAAAGGGTAAATTTTGTGAATATAAATTATATTAGGCATGACTTACTTAGCTAAATTAATTTATATTTTTTGTACAAATATTATAAATTAATTTTTTATATATTTAAAATGAATTATAAAGTAATATCAAATTAAAACTTATTATTTAAGTATATTTTTTAAAAAATCATAAAATATAAATTTAAAAAATAAATAAATGAGTTGGTGGTTAATCCATTTAACCCGCAACCTTTAAGAGTTTGGTTGAGTTAAAATATTTTTAATTTATATAAAAACGAATTCAATTTAATTTAATTTATATTTCTCTTAATGTATATGATCAATTTATATGAGTCGAGTTGATTTATATTTTCTTCTTACTTAAAATTCTCTTTCTTATTTCTCTTTTGTGGCCAAGCGAGGACTATACTTTCATTCCAATTTCCAAACGAAACAAACTGTTATGGCAGCAACAATAAATAACACAGTAGCATTCACCAAAATAATAATAATAATAATAACACAGTAGCAACAATATTTTCATTCCTAATCACAACAGTGTGTGATGTCCTGGCCAATAGAATCCCCACTTGCCTCTTCTGCTTTTAGCTTCCTAATCAGCCTGTCATCTTCAACTGGATCGAATAGACTTTTTTTTCTTTTGTCAAAAAAAAAAAGACTTTAAAATAAATCCATTATCCAATATTATTTTTCGTGTGTAAGGTTCAAGGTCCCCGCCAAATGACGTAGGAGTAGAAATGAGGATAGGCTATGATAGGCCTCACCTACATAAGTTTGAAGCTGTAACACAGGCGGCTGGAAATAGAATATAACTTAGAATCAAAATTTGCCTAAATGTAAATAGAGATTTTTACACGTAAAACTCATATTATAAAATCAAATAAAAGAAATGACTTTTTTTTAAATTTTAAAAATATCCATTTTAATATTTAATTTATAATTAATTTATAAAAATGTCCTTTTAATATCTGCTTTTTGTAAGCATTAAAAGATTCAAAATGCAAACAATATTTGAAATGAGAGAGATGAATGTGAGAGAGAAGACAAAATTGAATGTGAGAGAAACGAACACAAGATAGTAGAGCAATGTGAGCAAGCCACAATCATGACCACAAGAGACAAACACGAGGTGAGATACATCAATGATACTTGACATAATAGAGCACGTTGGTGGAGAAATAGAGTTACAAATTCATATTTTTTATTTTATTAACTTAGGTATTTGACTCTCTGTAATAAATCAAGAGTTCAAAAAATTTTGTAGAATGTATTTAATTCATTTTGGATGAATGATTATGTGTTTTTTGTGTTACTAATTCACAATATTATATCATTAATATATTACTGCATATCACTGATATACTATTGCAAATCAATATAACTAGACAATTAGACATAAACTTACTTATTTATGTATATCAATGATGTATTATCGCAGATCAATAATATGAAAAATGCATAATTAGTTACCCAAAAAAATTCAATGTTATCAAGAGATGTAAAGATAGTGAAAATTCAATGACAAATAATAGATTTCAACACAATCTTTTGCTTCCAAAAATGAAAATTCTTTTTCAATGTCTAATATCATTTTCATAGTATTCTTAAAAAAGATAGAGAGGGAGAGAGAAGAAAAGTTCTGTAATAAAAAAGGCACCGGTAACTTTATATTCAAGGGAAAAAAGGAATGATCCAGATAAAAAAGAGGAAAGATTCGGTCAGTTAAAGATTAATTATAATAGATATATTGTGTTTTAATAATAATTTAACCTAGAGATTAAAAAGGTAAAAATATCTCATTGATTTTATGAATGAGCCATATTTTAAAATATTCAAAAATTTCATTCATAATTTATGAGAGCCGTATTTTTTGAAGTCATTAAACTAATTTTCTTGTGCAAATATTGCATTAAATGAAGACGTAAAATAATTTTTAATTTCTTATTTAAGTATATCCTATATTTATGTGTAATTTATCCATATAAAGCATATCAAACTGAACCAAAACCGAAAAACTACTCCACTTGGTCACGAAGTGTGACTGAGGTGTTTTTTTTTTTGGGGGGGGTATCAACTGATGTGAAATTGCTAATTGAGTGGAGGCGTTTTTTATTGGGCTTGTTAAGGGAAAATGAATCTGGATCAAAGTCTCCTTGGTCCTGAATCCAGCTGACCCAAGCGGATAAGGTTAGACTCGATTCTTGTTTCTCGGGTGCAAACACACTTGACTTTTTCTTTATTGCAAACTTGTAACGGGTGACATCAAGCTAATTAAAAAAAAAATGTTCCATTACTGTTACAGAATATCCAATATTATTTTTCCTTCCTAAATTCTCGAAATAAATCCTGCATACTTTTTATACATATGAATTGTTCCTTTTTATCGTGAATAAAACTTTCTGTGGTCACGTAACTTAGATGTATATCTTTGTCGGGCTATGAGTAAACATTTGCCGCTAACTTAGCCACCCAAAAAATAATAACAATAATAATAATAATAATAATAATAGGTGATCAGGTTGAATTAAAATAACACATCTTGCTCATGGGAAATTCTACTCGTCTTTTCAAAGCAAAGCTTTAACCCTGCTGTTCGCATTATGAGCATCTAAACAGAATTAAGAATATCAAGAAATCTGTCCTCCTTTATGACGATGTTCTCACGCATGAGAATGAGCGACGATATTTTTTAAAGCTGATATAACAGGATGGATGCCCAATTTTACATAAATTAAAAGAGCAGATAAGAAACGTCATCCTAAGAGAACACAATTCCAGCGAGCTGATTTAGAAGTTTCTAATTCAGAATCTACATTTTTCTTCGTCTGTGCGCGCACGCGTGTTCCCTGTCAAATACTCCCTCACTTTTCAAATATAATGAAATTATCACGTGTCTCTTTATTTTTATTTGTAATTTATAAGTAAATTTATAAATTTTAAAATAATTTATTATTATTTTTAAATTTCTCTTATAAAATTAATATTTATTTTTGCTAGACAAATTTGTTTCATTAGTTATCAGGATTATTTAATTCAATTTTTTTTTTCAATTTCAAACATATTTATTATACTAAACCAACTTTTTTGAACCATGTGAATTAATTATTTTTTTTATATTTGAAATCAAAGAGAGTACTTCCCTTTGGTATTATTTATAAGTTATTTCCAGCATGTTTTATCTGAAAAAAAAAATATTAAACCTTATTAACTTTATCTTAAAATTTAATAAGTTTATACTCCTACCCTCTAATAAGGATAAAAAAAACTATTTTCATAATTTTTTTAGTATTTAATAAGGGTAGAAAGGTAAAGATAAATGTAAAAAATAATAAAGTGCACTATAAATATAATCAAAATTAATCTTATTTCTCTATCATATACTATATTATAATATACTCCATCTGTTCAAAAATATAAAGCATTTTAACTGAACCTCAGCACCTAATAAAAGTAGTTACCCACTTTCAAACTAACTCTATCTTTTTATATTTACCCCTATTAAACACCCTATAA